AATGAGAATTAGAAAATTAGTAAAATTATTGTAATAGAAAAAAATGTTTCGACCCGTTAAATCGTATACATTTCTTACCATTACCACAACTGAACCTCGTCTGTAGACGACTGTGATAGTTGAAGTTAGTGGAAATTGAATTTAAATTAGTTTGCTTTCTCCTACATAAATTTAAACTCAGTTTCTCTGTTAAGAAGCTGAGAATCTAAGAATGCACCTGGTACATATTGTCGAACATTTAACTGTTTAGTTCACGCAGTTGTGGGACTAAATCATCCGCACAGCTATGTATAGGATATGTTTTTATGCACAATTTTAAAAAATAACTCCTACCTGTAGCAGTTATGCTTAGCTGATTTTATAACTGGCTTTATCGGTATTTCTATAAATTTAGATCCGATATTGGAATCGCCAAAAGCAATCCAGCATGGTTTTACGTTCCTTCCTGATCCTCGAGATGGCGGTTTGTATATTTTAAAGGATGGGCAACTGAAGAAACTACCATATTCAATTCCTCAACTGGTCAATGCTTCACCGTGTCGAACGAATGATGGCGTGCTTTATGCAGGTTACTTTAATTTTAGTTTAAAACATTCATCGCGAAATAATTTGAAACCGCGGAAAGATGGAGAGAGAGAAGGTGGGGAGATGGGGGGGGGGGAAGCTTGGGTAATGTGGCGAGATTTTAGCTGGCGAGGTTAGAAATTAGTAGAGAGAGCATTGGAATTAACTGAAAAATGCTAAGTTGACTCGAAAAATGACGAATTTGTCAAAGAATTGTTAAATTTTCGACAGTAGCGGAAACCAAGCAAAGAATGCTGTTTTGGTGGCGGAGTATCAAATTTGGTATGTTATATGTCTGTGTGTATGTGTGTGTATGTATGAATGTGTGTGTGTGCGTGTGTGTGTATGTGCATATGAGTTTGTGTGTGTTTTTTGCCTGTTTATTATTGAATCACTCAAGCACTGCAGTGGTCAATTAGCCCAGTAAGAGATTTTATACCACTGGTAATTAAGGAAAATGAGAATACGAGATCCATTTGTGGTAAAGGTAAGAAATGTATACGACTTAATGGACCAAAACATTTCTTACCTGCTTTAATAATTCTTTTCATGTTTTCCATCATTTTTTCTTATATTTTCTCTTTAACCTTAAATAACTGATGAACAAAGCGAATTATTGAATAGTTCCCAAGCGTTGTTAAATGAACGCTAGTGAGGTTGCCGTTGAGGTAGATAGATACAGCTTTCAAAGATGCCTCTGTAGTTCTTTTTTTTCGGTACTTATTTCTGTACTTTGGTTAGCTGTTGTTTCATTATCGCGGTCCTTTTCGCCGCTTATGTAACTAACAGCTTTTCAATTCTTTTTGGTTGCAAATTCGCTGTATCCATGTTGAAAGCTTACACGCCGTACAAGCTTTCAACTTGTTTTTCCTGTCTTACGATATCCTTCCCTCTTGTACTTCAACATCGCTTGGATACCATTCAGCAAAAATCAATTTCACCCCGGATTTCTCGTTCCTGTATTTGTAAGGACTATGAAAATGAGTTTATAATTCAAGTGGATGATGATATTGCAGGAAGCAAACGAGATGTATGGTTGGAGATTGATCCAGAAACAGGCACGAAACTTCATGAGCTCTCATTATCACATACAGATCGCCATTGCCCTTTGAACAAAAACAGCAGTGTTTTCATTGGAAGGTGCCCATTTTATTCTTATTCGTTGACCATTCCTTTCTAAATCAATGCCATCAGGATAGTTGGCGTAAGGAGCCA